AATAAAAGCAATGAAGTAGTTAAATATTTTTGCTAAATCTTGAACTTATTGGTTCAAATAAATAATATGTATGAGTACCAAAAGGTCATTTTAGCTTCTTTTACTCTTTCTACTAAAAGGCACCTTGGTCATCCTAACTTATTAAGCATGACTTCTAATTCTCAAGTGATTCATAATCATATAAGAATAAGAGTCCATCCACAACTTTGGATGTGCAAATGGTAATGTCACCTAACCTTAATTTCTATAAGTAAGTGTATTTTGAATCATCTAAATTTACTTTTGTGATCTACTTATATCAATGTTATAAAATGAAATTAACTTATATCTAGCAAAAATGAAAGCAATTTATTACCTTGGTCATGGATCAACACTTGTCCAAGCCAAGTAAACCAAATCAGTATTCTAAAATATTGTTTCATCAAAATTGGAAATTGTTCTAAAATCATGATAAACTAATCAAAATTTAAAACTATGAAGCTATTTTTGGCCACTCAAACACTTCTAGTGCACCTTCAAGTTCCATTTCCTTGCTAGTTTCACTTGTTTGCAGTTCCTGCGCAACATCACAATGTTAAGCACTGCAACTTGGTATCACATACCTAAGTGAATGTTTATAACATAATACCTGAGGTTGATGCTCCATTCTTCTTGAGGAAGTGGAGGTATTTCTGGCAATTTCGCTTCCAATGCCCCTTCTTCTTCAAATAAAAGCATTCACTTTCACTTGCAGCCTTGGGCTTTGGAGTCGTCTTAGGCTTTTCAGGAGCCTTGGCAACTTGCTTGCCCTTGCTCTTGGCACTAGCCTTTTGCCCCTTCTTCTTGAATCCATTTCCCTTTTGAATCATAAGAACTTCCTTCTTAGGTTCCTTAGGGATTTTTTTCTCAGCACTAACCAGCATTGCATGCAATTGATTCATAGTCTTTGCAGTGGCAGTCATGTTAAAATTCATGATAAATTGGTTGAAACTTTCTGGTAGTGAATGGAGAATGATGTCTATTGCCAAATCATCACTGTATGGGTGCCCTAGTTTCTCCATACTTTGAATTAGGCCGATCATTTTGAAAACATGATCATGAACTGTGGCGCCCTTCTCCATCCTACAATCCAGAATGTCACGATGGAGCTCATACCTTTCAACTCTAGCTTGTTTCTTAAACAAAGCTTTAAGTTCTTGCATAATTGAGTAGGCATCCTGTTCCTCAAAACGCTTTTGAAGACTAGGCTCCATGGTAGCAATCATTAAGAAAGTGATAGGTATAGCTCTGTCATGAGCTTCCTTGTGCTTCTTGATCTCTGCCGTAGTTGGATTTTCTAGCAGAGGTCCTGGCAATGGGGTGTCAATGACATCCTCTCTACCTTCAGATTTTAGAACAAGCCTTAGCATTTCTTCCCAGTTGGAAAAGTTATCCCCTGCCAACCTATCCTTCTCAAGGAATGGTCGAAGGTTGTAAACGTTGTTGTCATTGTGATTACGGCTACCCATCTATGTCAAAATAAGACAAAGTTTAATAATTATGTTTAATTAAAATTAAAGTATCTGAACTCATTCATTTGGTAACTTCAAAACACTTTATTCTATAATTAATTGATCCCAATTGAATTTTAAGTGATTCCAAGATCCTTTATTTGTGTAATAATTGATCGGACTGAGGCCCTACCATCAACCATTACAATTTCAAGGTGAGTAAACTCTTTACTGATTACAACTCTTGTAACTCTTGGTTGAATAATTGATCATCACATGCTTAATTATTACCCTTAGCTTCAAGGTTCTAAACCCTTTAGGTAACCTTGTTGAGTATAAGCAATTAAAAGTGTAAAACGTGATTTACCCCAGGCCAACTCCCCAAAGATATAATATGACACCCAGCTGAGGCATGACCCATCATAAATATCGAAGGTTTCATTGAGTTTTTAATTGGAAAAGCAATCTCAATATTATGTTGTGATTATTTAGTGAACTCTAGCGCATCATCGATCAACATAAATAAAATCTAATATGCATGATCTACTAATGCAATAAAATAAAGTATGACATAGTATGACCCCTTAGTCCTAAGAAAACTAGAAATGAAAATGCTCCCACTAGAATCATCATGGATCTCCATCCACCTTGCTCCTTTGGGCCTTCACTTCATGGGCTTCTTTGGACTAACACTATTTGAATAACTATTCTATTTACTCTAGATAAAATTTACAAAAATACTTAACGGTACGCAGACCGTATTTAGATTACAAAAATACTTCACGATGCGCATATCGTATTTTAGAATTTATGGGCCATACTAGTCTATATACAGTAACATAATATCATATATTATAAAAGTTCCATATAATAAATCACTCAACATGCTTGTCTAAACTACAACATCGAATGTTCATAATAAAGTAAACGCATTTCCTAAAATATCTCATATTTTAAATAATAATTAGATAATATCATATATTATTCATGACCGTTTATAAAATATCATATATTTAATTTAGTTGTGAGATAGAATCAAATCATATTTTAATCTACAAAGATAAATCATATTTAATCTTCCATGATTATCCTAACAAATTTAGCAGATTATATCCTAATTACTATCCAATCAAATAATTTTAAAATCAATTAAATCCTAATCTAATTATGAGATAATCACATTATTTAAATCAATTATTATCCTTTTGGAATATGCTCAGAATATCCTAATCAATCTTATCCAAAATAAACCACTTTAATTAGGATAATTACCAATTTAACAACTTTAAATATGGATGATATCAAATATAACAACTTTTGAATATTTGATTTTATCCTAAAATAAAAGATTTTATCCAAATAAAACCGATTTTATCTTTTAAAATAAAAGATCATATTTTCAAAATATTTTATCTTATCCAAAAATAAATCATATTTATCTTGAAATAATTTTAAAATAAAATAATAATTTTTTTTTGAAAACTGTGAGCCACCACCGCTGGCCACTGTGGTTGGCTAGCCAAAGCTTGCCACGGTGGCTGGCTTCCATAACAACAGCCACTGCCGCAAGGCATCTGCGTGCAGTAGCTGTGGCAGTCGTGGCAGCAGTCGTGCAACACTTGCACACTGTTTCCCACAGCCACCATCGACCGCCTGCCCTCCCTCCCTCCCTCTCAGACAGCCACCTGGTCGGCAGCCGCCGTGGCTGCGCCAACCAGCCGCGGTTGTTGACCATAATTTTTTTTTGTGTTTTTAATTTAATTAAAATAACTTTTATCAAAATTAAATTAAATCATACCAAAATTAAAATTAAATCAATATTCAATCTTAAAATTAGGGTTCATCATAAAATTAATCCCAATTTAATTCTAAATTTTAAAATTAAATCGATGATTAAATCAAAATAAAGCACAAAAATCATATTTGAGGGCTAGTATTTTCGAAAAATTCAAAAAATTAGGGTTAGGGGGTTCGAAAAATTCGAACATATTAGGGCTAAATTTCGGTCTCTTCATGGCTATTTTGAGCATAATTAAATCACATTTAATCGGTTCCAAAAGTTTAATCACATTAAAATTATAATTGAACCATAATGAAATTAATTTCTCCCTCTTAATTGATGATAAAATTAACATGGACATCAAATAATCGTATATTATGATCTAGCACGTTCATGCAAGAGGCTAACTGATACCACTGTAAGATTTTATAGGTACTACGCAGCGGAAATAACATGAATTATATTCATAAAGCACCTAAACCAAGAATCGCATGCATAACACACAAGACACATAATCATACCTTTGATGCGTGAATTCTACGAAGCTATTCGACAGGCAAATGAGGGAGAGAATAGAGCCCCAAGCGTTGCTCCTCTAATTAGTCCATGAGATTCAAACAAGTCGTCTACCAATACTAGATTGATTGAGTGATTGAGGAAAACCGCGATCACCACCTTTTCGGGACAAGAACCGACCACCACGAATCATCACCACCACGAACCACCACATGAGGCGTTGGGAAGGAGAGAGTCGTGAGAGAGAGGAGAGGAGAGTTTTTGAGGGCTAGGTCTCGTGTTTGCTAATTAGGGTTTGATCACATTGATAAGTTAATTGCATACTACAAACCCTGGGCACCTAGTATATTTATAATCCTATTATAATTACACTAGGGCACGAAGTCCAAAACTCTCTTATCCACTCCATATGGCCGGTCACTATAGGGGATGAGGCCCATGATGGGCCTCGTCCTCTCGTGCTCGATCTAGGCCCTTTGTGTGACCTTATAAGATCCGTCCAATTGGGCTTTAGCCTATTTTACTAGTCCAAAGATCGTTATTACCTCTAGCTATGGAAAAACGACGACCCAAATATACGAACTTAATTATCTCCATAATTTGATCCATTTATATATCTAGTAATTGCACACGACGAAGACACAACTCCTTCAATGGACTCCTCTGATTTTTAATGCATTAATGTTCCGCTCTTGCTGAGATATTATACAAGTATTAAAATTTATTCTACCCAAAAGAATCTTCATATTGAGTTCAAGAAACTTTACAATTGTCCACGCCCCAGAAAACCCCATTGACTCCTGCATTAAACAATTCATTCCTTCTAAACATAGACCATATAGTCACAGAAGGTAAGCATTCATCCATCTTTGATTTTGCCTATGTTAGTTTTTTAATCTCTGTTCTGTAACTTCTGTTTAAGTTCAGTTGCTCAAACTTTCTCCACAACAAAGTCTAGGTAGTGTAGTGGATATCACCCTAGTTTCACCAGCAAAATTTCAGAATTATACTACCATTTTTGCATGAAAACTAAGCATCAAAATACTGATTATCCGAGTACTGATCTCCAACTTATCTTGCTCCTTAATTTACAGTATTTACTACGCTTAAAACTACTGTCTACTGATTAACAGTGCACATGTAATCGATTGCAGTAATTCAGGTAATCATTTGTACAAACCTAATTTGTCTTAGCTTTTGTCTATGACCAGAATCAATTGAAATAAATATAATTAACAATGCATAATCATCAAATAAACATGACTATGAAACCCAAAACAAAATCAGAAATGAAATGATTACAAAATTACTATAAATATCATCTCTACCACTTTTTTACTAGAAAGAATTTACATTAGACGTAGACTCAAAAATGGAAGAAAAAACCATGGACAGAAAGCATGGACAGAAAATAACAAATGTATTTATCAACACAAGCAATAATTACAGCAAAGCATGGACAGAAAAAGTACCTCAATCAAGTTATCCCAAACTTCATCTACATTCTCAAATAATTCTGTTTCTTCATTCCAACCCCAACCACTAGCATTGAAAAGATCATAAACATCATTGAAATTACTCTTTATCGTCTTAAGCCGATTCTTCAAATGCTCTTTGGTAAAAGGATGGTTCAACTTTTCAGTACATTCCTTCACAACATTTTCATACGCCTTTGAAATGAACTGACCATCAACTCTATTTCCATTAATGTCCTTAGCGATCAAAGCATCAAGAAAAACCTTGTCCATGTGTAAAGTCCACCGAAGAGAAGTGGATGCCTTTCCATCTGAGCTTTTGTTTTTCTTCACCATCTGTGCTCATATAAAATAGATAAAAAAAAAATACTTTATAAAGAGCATATAGATTGCTACAATATAGAATTTTCATAAACTGAATCAAAATAAATAATACAAGTATTCATTAACAAAAACAAAAACAAAATCAAAAAATATATTTAGTTATTTCCCCTACAATACATAATCATCCCACATTTGTTTAGGTATACTATCTCTAATTTTTTACCCTTCTTTAGATTCTTCTTCGGTTGAAAGAGTCTTACACTCCTCATTGCCGACATCTAGTAATTCACGATCCACTTCATCAATAAGACTTTGATTCAGATCAAATCCCATGAGAAAATTGTGAAGTATGCAACATACTACAATAATATCAGTTTGGGTTTTAAGACAATATTGAGGCTCATTAATTCCACCTATAATTCCAAAACGTTTTTTTTAGAACTCCAAAAGCTCTCTCAATTGCATTTCGTAAGGAGGCATGACGATGGTTGAATATTTCTTTGGCATTCTCAGGTCTCCGATTCGAGTATTCCTTAAGATGATATCTTACACTGACGAGGGGTGGAACTAGGTCATTGAAACTAATCCTCCCTTGGTCAAATTAAATTTATAAGCACTTAACAAACTTATATACTAGTATAGAGGCAAGTCAAGGGTCGAACCCAAAGGAATGGTAATGTTCAAGAGCTGTCAATTATGCACCTAAGCTAGGTCGAAGTCTAAGGATTAGAGGTAAACACTAACCAACTAACAAAATGAAGAATCAAACAAATAAAACACTAGGAACGAGGATCAACAAGTAATCATGACAATTGTAGCAACTCGGGAACAATATGCAAATCAATAATTGTGAAGACTAATGGCAAGCTCAATCAAAAGAGTCAACAAGCTATCTCCTAGAGGTCAAACTAGCGCCAACTATGAGAGACTCTAACTAGGAGCATCACTAATCAAGCTCAATCGATAATTGCAATTCCTAAATCAATGGTCTGTATCATTAGAAACTACAATGCAATCTAGCATAATTCTCAAGGCCTAATCAAATTACACACATGCAAACTTCCATTAATCACTTTAATCTCAACAATTAATCAACACAATCCCCAAATTAAGCATAATCAATCAATCATACCAATTTCACCCAATCCCTAGCCAAACAACTACTCTAACATAATCATCTACTCACAAACAACTAAAGAAATCAAGAATCGACAATATATTAAGAACAACTACACTAATCAACAATCAAACATCAAAATCAAACCAAACTAATCTGAAATCAAACAAAGCAATAAAATGAGATATAGTTAAGAATGCTCATTGATAATAGAGAAGATCTTCAATACAATTGTCACCATTGAATCTTCAATCTCTCAATCACCATTGAAATTCCTCACTTTCTCTCTCAATCCACTCTTAAACTAACCCTAGAACTAGAGAGAGAAGCTCTCAACTAAGCTAAGATTATGATAAAAAAAACTAGAATAATACTTCTTCTAAACTTGCCCCAAAAATCGGGTTTACAAAGGTATTTATAGAGGCGCGAAAACAAAAACCGAGCAAACAAATACCCAGGAAGGTGCGCCCGTGCTGCAGGGGTGGTGCGCCCGCGCCAAGGGGTGGCGCGCCCACGCATGCTGGTGGTGCGCCCGTGCCTTGCGCGCCCGCACATCTCTGGGTTTCTTCGATCTTCTCGCGGCTTCGTGAGTTCGCTAAGGTCTTCGAATGAACGCACAATCATGATGATGATGAACACTAAGTGAGGTAGTCCCAAAAGCACATGATTGTGGGTTCAACACCCCATATTCATGAGAGCACGACTTGAGAGCGCCAGAGCTAGAACTTGGAGAATCCACTTCCTTGCATCTTGAGCTTTCTAATTGCCATGAGCTTGCTCCAAAAGCTTCCTCCACCTTAGTAAATCACCAATATCAAGACACGAACCTCGTACAATACCTACAACCACGATAATAGAGAAATTAAAGGAGAAAAGACTAGAAAAACCATAGAAATGCACAAAAGCTACAAAATAAGAGAGGAAAGGTAAGACTATGACCAAAAGCATAAAACTAAGCATTTATTAAGCATGAAGCCATGAAAAGAAGGTAAAAAAAACATAAATTCTCATCAAATGGGTGCCATTTATGACACCCATCATACACCTCTATAAGGTGTTATAAGAGAAGTCTTTAACATATAGCCAGCATCTCCAAGATAATACTTACCTAATTACATAAATAAATAATTACTAATAGTTTAAAAATTAAGAATAATAAAACAATAGGTAACATAGATACTAATTCATTACCTTGAGAAATAATTAACTTGTCTTCCCTACTTAGAGCATTCTTAAATACTCTAGAGTCAGAAGCTGAACCCTCCCAACCTACTAAAACATAAGTGAATTTGAGGTCAATAGTACAAGCCGCCAACACATTTTACGATGGATAACCTTTCCTCCCTTGAAATCTATAAGCAATGGGACCGACAACATTCACACGAATATGAGTTCCAACAAGAGCACTAATGCAATCCTTGAAATAAGGGACAAATCGACTATCACCACGAACTTCTGGTGAAACTTCCTCTGATCCATTAGGTTGCTTAAGAAATTGATCTTCCATCTTTATTATAGCATTTAGAAATCTATGGAAATGTCTGCTCATAGTTTCACCAGAACGCATAAAAAATGCACTCAACGAGCAATTTCTTGCATTATGACCAAGAATATACAAAGATTTTGCCACTTGCTCCTCCACCGAATCTCGTCTTGTATCCTTTAAATACTTCCCATCCCTTAAAATTTTACATAACTTAACAAAAGTCTCGGGGCTCATACGAATCAATTATCGACTAATTTGAGTGACTTTCAAATAATTCATAAGTTCATGACATCTACTCTCTCTGACCATGTAGGCTTCTAAACTACAATTTCGTGTCAATATTCCCAAACTCCTACTTAGGTAATATGACTTCATAAGACACATTGCATACACAACATAACCAACAACATGAATTACAGCTCCACGTCTTGTTCTATCCCATGTCGCTTCCCCAATTTTGACATCAAATTCCTCAAAATCTCCCTCCATATTAAAGGCAATATGAACGACTATAAAAATATTATTGAACATATCAACAACAAAATCATAACAATTATAAATATACAAACAGTTTAAATCAAACAGAGTGTTCACTCAAATTGATCAACAGAGTCCATAAACCATATACAGTTCAACAAAAATTTTACAGCAAATTAACCCAATTAGAAAACAACCCAATTGAATAAATCAACAGAACTTAACAACAGTAGTAAAAGCAAAATTCATCATAAATCAACAGAACCCAATTGCGCTCGGCCTCATCACTCATCCCTTTCTTACAAAATGCATCATAAATAGTAGTAAAAGCAACAACAGTAACCTCAACACCCTTCTCCTCCATTTCCCCCAAAGTTTTCAAAGCCAATTCAGGATCACCCTTCCCACAAAAACTCCTAATCAAATCCCATAAGAAACCTCATTAGGAGCAAACGCATGTCTCTTAGGCATTTCATCGAACAATTGGGGTACATTATCATACAATTTAGAATGATTACAAGCAGCAAGCAAAGCATTAAAAGAAAGCACAGTTCAATATGCCTTGAGTTTATATACTACTATTTGCATTTTGGGATCGATTGAATCCAAAAAATGAAACATAATTATTATAATACTACTATTCACATTTATATTTATTGAAAAATTGCGAGTTTGATTATAGAGTAAGTCCTAGCTTGAGTAATTCATAGCAAACGCTTAACATTCTCATGAATACGCATCCTAACTTGAGTAGAAGAACAAAATCGCACTCCAAAAAATCGCATTAAAATATTCAATCAACAAAATCAAACTAAAATTTGACACTTACCTTGAAAAAATCAGATAAATCATGAGAGAGATGACAAGTATGAGTAGATTAGTAGTGAAATCGCACTCCACAAACCCTAGAAATTGGGGAAAAAAATTGCATTTTGGAACCCTAGAAATTTGGGGATATCGTGAGGAGAGAGAAAAAATTTACATCAAAAACTGATGTTCAGATTTTGTTAGAAAGTAAAGGGTATATTTGTCTTTTTACAATACATCAGTTTTTACAGAATTTTCCTTCCAAATCTTTTCAAAATTGGAATGATTTTACTCCTAAGTAATTAATGAATTATTTTCCACCCATTTCCTTTCCTTCCATTTCCTTTTCCTTCCTAATTTGTTATCCAAACAAAGGAAATTGTATCCCTTTCTTTCTCTTCTCTTTCTTTCCCCCCAAATCCTTCTATCCAAACACACCCCTAGTGTTTGTAGATGATCTTATCATCTCTTGCAAGCTAAGGGTGACAAAGAATTTATAAACTTGATTTTAAAGAGCTAAGCAACTTTTGCTGCATCTTCAGGTTTAGCGGCTAATGAAGGCAAGTCAAATATTTACTTTTGTAATGTCAAGCAAGAGATTAAGGATGATATCATTAGTTGCTCAGGTTTTGTTGAGCGTATGCACCCTTTTAGGTACTTGGGGTGTGAATGTAAGTGCTAAAAGGATGGGGAATGATGACTGTGACAGTTTTATTGGTAAAATAAGTGCTAAGAAGCTGTCTTAGAAGAGTTGTCCTAGTCAATTTTGTCCTCATGTCCATGCTTGTGGTACTAGGCATTTATTTTTGTACTGCACAAAGCAGTGCTTGATGGGGTTATGGCTATCTGTAGAAACTATTTGTGGGATTGAAAACTTGTATATTCTAGGTCTCCTCCTATAGATTGGGATCTTGATTGCAGGGGTAAGAAGCAAGGTGGATAAGGCTTACATGATGATATTCATATCTGGAATATTGTAGCTGTAGGCCAAACAAGCTCATTTGGAAATTTTCTCAGAAGAAAGATAGCTCTTAGCTAATATGAGTCAACAGTCTGTATTTGAAGAATAAAAACTAGAAAAGATACAAGTTCTCTCTGTCTTGCAGTGGGAATTGAAAGCAGATTTGGTGGGTTAAGGATAAACTAAAAGCTGGTTATAGGAACAATTTCTAGATTCCTGATCCTAAAGGGTATTATGTAGCTAGCTTAAACTACTAAAATTCGGTTAAATTACGACCGTTTTTTTTCGACCGTCAAGAAAACGGTCACAAATTATAAAATGTGCGACCAACTTTTACGCAGCCGCAATATTACGACCATTTTAAAAGTTGTTGCAAATTTGCAACCGATTTTGTCCTTTTAATCGATCACAAAGATATTTGAACAATTTTAAAAAATTCTAAATTAAAATATTCCCTTTACGACCGCATAAAAGGTCGTAAATAGCGACCGTTAATAAATCAGTCGCAATTTCCGACCGCAAAAGGTTTTT